TCGTGCCTCAGTCCCGCAAAGAGGAGCTGCGCATGTAGTTCGAGCAACTTCATCAGGGTGATATCTCCATGACACAGTATGAGATGAGATTTTTTGAGTTGTCCAGTCATGCTATCTGTTTGGTTCCCAAAGACAAGGAGAGGATCAGGAGGTTCATAGATGGCCTCACTTTTCAGCTGCGATTGCTTATGACTAGAGAGAGAGAGAGAGCGGTTGGTGCTACTTTTGAGGAGATTGTCGACATTGGTCGTCAGATTGAGATGGTTCACAGCTAGGAGCGGGTTGAGAGGGAGGCCAAGAGGCCTCGTGGACAGGGTGGATTGAGCGGTGTTCCTTCTAGGGGTCACTTCTACCATGACAGGGGTCGTCCTTACAGGCATGCTAAAACGGCTCGCCCTGTTCACCATGGTGCATCATCTAGCCCTGGATCACACAATTACTAGCAGGGTCACTCATCTCTTAGTGCCTTCCAGCTCAGAGTTCGTCCCATGCTCCATTGGGTCAAGGCTCGTCTATGCCAGGTCCTTCTACCAGTTATCCTGGTGCTCGGGGCCCCCTCCAGTCCCCACCACCAGCACCGGGTAGTTGCTATGAGTGTGGAGAGTTTGGCCATATCAAGAGGTATTGTCCCCGCCTTATGGGAGGTTAGACTCAGCAGAAGAGTCAGACTACAGCTTCAGCACCAGTTACTTCACTACCCGCTCAGCCAGCTCGGGGTGGGGCCCAGTCAGCTAGAGGTCGCCCTAGATGGGGAGGACGATCGAGTGGCAGTCAGGCCCGATTCTATGCTCTTCTCGCCAGACCAGATGCCAATGCTTCGGACGATGTAATCACATATATTGTCTCAGTTTTCCACAGAGATTCCTCTGTACTATTTGACCCTAGTTCCACTTATTCATATGTGTCCTCGTATTTTACTCATTATCTAGATATGCCCCGTGAGTCTCTAGTTTCATCTGTTCATGTATCTACTTCAGTGGGCGATACTATTATTGTGGATCGAGTATATCGGTCATGTGTGGTGACTATTGGGAGCCTAGAGACCAGAGTAGATCTCTTAGTTCTAAGTATGGTTGATTTTGACGTGATTTTGGGTATGGACTGGTTGTCTCCAAATCGTGCGGTTCTAGATTATCACGCGAAGACCGTGACGTTGGCGATGCCAGGATTGCCGAGAGTTGAGTGGAGCGGCTCTATAGACTATGTTTCCAGTTGAGTGATTTCATACTTGAAGGCTCAGTGGATGGTTGAGAAGGGTTGTCTATCTTATATGGCCTTTGTGAGGGATGTTAGTGCAGAGACCCCTGCTATTGATTTTGTTCCAGTGGTGCGATATTTCCCGGATGTGTTTCCTACAAACCTGCCGGGCATGCCGCCTAACTGGGATATTGATTTTAGTATTGATTTGGCGCTGGGCACTCAGCCCATTTCTATTCCACTGTATCGTATGGCACCGGCGGAGTTGAGGAATTGAAGAATCAGCTTTAGGAACTCCTTGATAAGGGGTTTATTCGGCCTAGCGTGTCACCTTGGGGTACACCAGTTCTATTTGTGAAGAATGAGGATGGTACTATGAGAACGTGCATTGATTACATACAGTTGAACAAGGTCACAATCAAGAACAAGTATCCTTTGCCGCGTATTGATGATCTATTTGACTAGCTTCAGGGAGCGAGGGTTTTCTCCAAGATTGATTTGAGGTCAGGGTATCACCAGTTAAAGATTCGGGACTCAGATATTCTTAAGACAGCTTTCAGGCCCCGATATGGCCATTATGAGTTCCTTGTGATGTTTTTTGGGCTGACCAACGCCCCAGCAACGTTCATGCATCTGATGAACAGTGTGTTTCAGCCTTACCTTGACTCGTTCGTTATTGTTTTCATTGATGACATCCTGGTATACTCTCGTAGCCAGGAGGAGCATGCTCAGCATATGAGGATTGTGTTACAACGGTTGAGGGAGGAGAAGCTTTATACAAAGTTCTCCAAGTATGAGTTTTGGCTCAGTTCAGTGGCGTTCTTGGGGAATGTGGTGTCCAGTGAGGGTATTCTGGTAGATCCGAAGAAGATAGGGCGGTTCAGAGTAGGCCTAGACCGTCCTCAGCCATGGAGATTTGGAGTTTTCTCGGTTTGGCTGGTTATTACCGTCATTTTGTGGAGGGTTTCTTATCTATTGCATGGCCCTTGAATAAATTAACCCAAAAGGGTGCTCCTTTCAGGTGGTCGAGTGAGTGCGAGGAGAGCTTCCAGAAGCTCAAGACTGCTTTGGCCACGACTCCAGTTCTTGTTCTACCATCAGCTTCTGGTTCTTACGCAGTGTATTATTATGCCTCGTGGATCGGTATTGGGTGTGTTCTGATGCAGGAGGGTAGAGTGATTGCTTATGTTTCGCGCCAGTTGAAGCCTCATGAGAAGAAATATCCTGTCCACTACCTTGAGTTAGCAGCTACTGTTCACGCCTTGAAGATTTGGTGGCACTATTTGTACGGTGTCCATTGCGAGATTTACACTGATCACCGGAGTTTGCAGCATCTGTTCAAACAGAAGGATCTTAACTTGCGTCAGCGGAGGTGGTTGGAGCTTCTTAAGGACTATGATATCACAATTTTGTACCATGCCGGGAAGGCCAATGTGGTGGCTGATGCCTTGAGTCGCCAGGCGGAGATTTTGGGGAGCTTAGCATATCTTCTAGCAGCATAGTGGCTATTCGCATTGGACGTTCAGGCCTTAGCCAACCAGTTTGTTAGATTGGATATTTCTGAGCCGAGTCGAGTATTGGCTTGTGTGGTCTCTCGGTCTTCTCTTTATGATCGTATCAGGGAGTGCCAGTATGATGACCCCCATCTTCCTGTCCTTAAGGAAACGGTCCAGCACAGTGATGCTAAGGAGGTCACTATTGGGGATGATGGAGCATTGAGTATGTAGGGTAGGCTGTGTGTACCCAATGTTGATGGTTTGCGAGAGTTGATTCTTCAAGAGGCTCATAGCTCGCGGTATTCTATTCATCCAGGTGCCATGAAGATGTATCAGGACTTGAGGCAACATTACTGGTGGAGGAGAATAAAGAAGGACATAGTTGAGTATATGGCTCGGTGTCTAAATTTCCAATAGGTGAAGTATGAGCATCAGCGACCAGGTGGGTTGCTTCAGAAGTTAGAGATTCCGGAGTGGAAGTGGGAGCGGATCACTATAGATTTCATTGTTGGACTCCCACGGACTAATCAGATGTTTGACGCAGTTTGGGGAATTGTGGATAGGCTGACCAAACCAGCTCATTTCATTCCTGTGATGGCTACCTATTCTTCCGAGCAGCTGTCTCGAGTGTATATCTGCGAGATCGTCAGGCTTCATGGAGTACTGGCATCTATCATCTCTGATCGGGGTACGCAGTTTACATCACTGTTCTAGAGGGTAGTACAGCATTAGTTGGGTACTCAATTGGAGTTGAGAACAGCATTTCACCCGCAGACGGACGGACAGTCCGAACGCACTATTCAGATATTAGAGGATATGCTCCGTGCGTGTGTGATAGAGTTTGGGGGTTCGTGGAATCAGTTCTTGCCACTGGCGGAGTTTGCCTACAATAACAGTTAATAGTCGAGCATCCAGATGGCACCGTATAAGGCTCTGTATGGTAGGCAATATAGGTCTCCAGTGGTTTGCTTCGAGCCGGGCGAGGCTAGATTATTGGGTATAGATTTGGTTCAGGATGCTCTGGAGAAGGTTAAGGTAATTCAGGATAGACTGCGCACAGCCCAGTCCAGACAGTAGAGTTACGCGGATTGAAAGGTTCGCGATATTGTATTCATGATTGGAGAGCGGGTCCTGCTCCAGGTGTCACCCATGAATGGTGTTATGAGGTTCGAAAAGAAGGGCAAGCTGAGCCCGAGGTTTATCGGCCCATTTGAGGTATTGCGACGTGCTGGGGAGGTTGCTTATGAGCTTTCCTTGCCTCCCAATCTAGCAGGAGTTCATCCAGTATTCTATGTTTCTATGCTCCAAAAGTATCATAGCGATCCGTCTCACGTGTTGGATTTCAGCTCAGTCCAGTTGGACAAAGATTTATCTTATGTTGAGGAGCTGGTGGCGATCTTGGATAGGCAGGTTTGAAAGCTGAGGTCGAAGAATATTGCTTCTGTGAAGGTTCAATGGAGGGGTCAGCCGGCCGAGGAGGCAACTTGGGAGACCGAGCAGGATATGCGCAGCCGCTATCCTCACGTTTTTACCACTTTAGGTATGTCTTTATGCTTGTTCGAGGACGAATGATTATTTTAAGAGGGGGAGGATGTAACGACCCGGCCGGACGTTTTGAGAGTAATAGCCCTGATCCCCTATTTTCTGATTTCCCTATATCTTTTTCTACTTGTGTGACTTTCCGTGAGGTTTTGTTGTGGTTTCAGAGTGATTTGGGACACTTAGTCCCTAAAAATGGAAGCTTAAGTCTTAGGATTTTGACCGTAGTCGGAACTGCGTGAAGATGACTCCGGAGTTCCTTCGGTTCCATTAGCTCCGTTGTGTGATTTTGGACTTAGGATCGTGTTTGAACTATAAATTTGAGGTCTGTAGCTGATTTAGGCTTGAAATGGCGAAAGTCAAATTTTTGGAGATTTTAACCGAAAGTGGACTTTTTGATATCGGGATCGGATTCCGATTCTGGAAGTTGGAGTAGGTCTGTAATGTTGAATATGATAGGTGATTTGATAGGTTTCGGCAACGGTTGTAGAAATTTGAAGTTTCAAGTTTATTAAGTTTGAATTGGAGGGTGATTCGTGTTTTCGTTGTTGTTTGACGTGTTTTCAGGGCTCGACTAAGTTCGTATAGTGTTTTAGGACTTGTTGGTATATTTAGTTTAGGTCTCGGGGGCCTCGGGTGTAGTTCAGATGCTTAACGGATCGAAAATTGGACTTGTGTATCTGTTGAAGTTTCTGGTTTCTTGTGTTTTCGCACCTGCGGTGGGGAGACAGCAGGTACGGACTCGCACGTGGGGATGAAGGAGCGCAGATGCGGGATTTGGCAGCCCTAGCTAGGTTTGCAGGTGCGGAGGTAATTGCGCAGAAGCGGCTTCGCTTCTGCGGGTGGTCTGTGCGTAGGAGCGGTGAGGGTCGCAGGTTCAGTTCCTTGGTCACAGGAGTGCATCCACAGGTGCGGCACTTCTCTGGCAGATGCGGACCCAGGGGACTTAACTTAAGTCCGCACCTACGATAGGATTTTCGCAGGTGTGGCATCGCAGGTGCGATTATAGGCCCGCAGATGCGAAATCGCTGGGCAGAAAAGGCCAAGTTCGAGGGTTTTATCCCATTTTCAATTTTGGGACTTTGAGAGCTTTGATTTGGACGATAATTTGGAAGATTTTCAGAGGAAGCTTTTGGGTAACGATTCTTAACCCATTAATGGTTATATTCCACTAATCTTTCACTAATTTCATCTTTTAATTTCATATTTGGGTGAAAAATTTGGGAAAAATGGGAAGAAGTTCTTCAACTAAGTTTTTGAGTTTTGATTGGAATTTTGATATCGGATTTTGATAATTTTGGTACGAATGAGCTCGTGAGTGAATGGGTGTTCATATTTTGTGACTTTTGTCGGATTTCGAAATGTGGGTCCGAGAGGGCCGATTTGAGCCTATTTCGGATTTTGGCTTATAATTTCATATTTTTCTTGTGGAATTGATTCCTTTAGCCTATATTAATTATATTGTACTGCTTGTGGCTAGATGCGGGGAATTTAGTGACTGATTCTAGGGACAAAGGCATTTCGGAGTAGGATTTTGCGCGGTTTGAGGTAAGTAACAGTTTTAAATCTGGTCCTGAGGGTATGTAACTCCTGATTTTGGTATGATGTGATTATTTTGGAGGTGACGCACATGCTAGATGACGGGCGTGCGGGCGTGCACCGTGGGGGATTGTGACTTGGTCCATCCCGAGAGACCGTAAAGTCGAATAGCTTCTTGTTAATTACATGTTCCCCTTGTCATCTAGAAATTTGACTGCCATTCATGTTAGAAACTATGCTTAGGCCATATGATATCACTGTTGGGACCCGCAGTGGTTGGGTACTTGTTGAATTAGCTGCTATTTGCTTCACAGTTTTACTTGCGTGTCATATCTCCGTTTCCTCTTATTTTCTTGTTGGTACTTGTTATTATTTCTTTTGGGCTGATTTGTATGATTTTTGAGAGCCCGAGAGGCTGGGGAGGTTAGTGACTGAGATAGGGCCTGAGTGTCGAGCTGTTAGCTATGTGAGTATATATGGATCGGGTTGCACTCCGTAACGAGCCCGAGGGCTATATGTATATGGATCAGGTTGCACGCCGCAACGAGCCTTAGGGCTATATATATATATATATATATATATACGGATCGATTTGCACGCCACAGCGGTATATCGCTTGGGCTGAAGGAGCCCCTCCAGAGTCTGCACACCCCCAGTGAGCGCAGGTACCAATCGAGTGTGACTGTTGAGGGTTGAGAGCCGAGTGATGGGCTATTGACAAGGAATGATTGATTGTTGCCCTGAGAGGCGGTATTTGTTTCCATTGTTGTTGCACATAGTTGTTATATGTCATTGTTTTGAAACTTTTGAGGGATATTATATCAAGGTTTTACTTGAACTTAGCATTTATAAATTGATTTGACTTAAACTGCCGAATTTGAAAACAGGTCCACTTTCTTGTTGGGATTATTAAAAATGAACTATTACTGTGTTGCTCGTCACTATCTTTTAGTTTCTTATTTATCATTGTTACTTATTGAGTTGGTTGTACTCACGCTACACCCTGCACTTCGTATGCAGATCCAGGTGTTCCCGGTCATAGCGGTTGTTGATATTTGAGCAGCTGATTCCGGAGACTATCGAGGCAGTTGCATGGCGTTCGTAGGCCTTGGCACTCCTTCATTACTTTTATCGCATTTCAGTTCTTATTCCTTAGACGTTGTATTAGACTGATCCTATTATAGATGCTCATGTACTCGATGACACCCCGGTTTTTGGGATAGATTGTATTGTGATGTGAGTTTATTTCTGTTCCACAAAGGTTTTTCTTAAATATTAATTGCTTCCGTCTATAATTTTAAAACTTTTACTTTGTTAAGATAGTGAGTAGTGGCTTGCCTAGTACCATGATAGGCGCCATCACGACGGTGGTTTTGGCTCGTGACATATTTACTAGAAATTTCCTATATACTGAATGAAAAAGTACGATAAAATAAAGAAAATGAAATCGAGAAAAAGGCAAGCAAATTATATTTTCAGATTCTTCTATTAAATTGTGGAGATTTAAGTTAGTTAAAAAAACTTACGAATTGTGAAAATCAGTAAAGAAAGTTAGTTAAAAAAACTTAAGTATTCCCCAAAAATCAACACCTTTTCCTCTCCTAAAAATTTGTTTGCTAAATTTTCTCTATTGGAATTAACCTGATCAAATATCTATATATAGTCAATTACAACATTCACTTCAATAAACTTCCTCCATTCGTTTAGGGTTTCGTTTCATAGTTCGTCTTCTAACTTGAGAGAACAGTAGTGGTTCTTGTCTTTGCATATTGCGGCAATTGCTATTGTCTCATTCTTGTGTTTCTCTATAAGCAAGAAAAAGAGACGACCATATATTCCACGTCGAGGTTACCTATACGCCGTGGGTGTATCATGGGTGTTCGGTTTCACCCAACTGAAGCAGAGTTGATCAACTTTCTGAAAAGGTTCCTAAAGGGCGAGCCTTTGCCGAGTGAATGCCCTAATTTCCAACTTGCCGATATCTATGGAGACCAACCACCATGGGAGATATTTGGAGCTTCTGATCATCCCGAAGAGAAGGTTTGCTATTTTTTTACTCGGTTGAAGAAGCAGAAGAGCGAACATACAAGGGTACGTCGAACTTGCGCCAACGGGACATGGAAAGGCCAAACAGGTATTGATCCTATCAAGAATGGTAAGGGAACTGTGGTTGGGTTTAGAAGATGTTTCAAGTTTCAAACTAGTCGTAGTAAAGAAGGAGAGCACAATAAAATTTGGCTGATGAAAGAATATTCAGTCGGGGATGATTTTTTTAGAAAAAATAATATTCCTAAAGAGGATATTGCTGTGTGCCGAATCAAGAAGAATATAAGAGGTGAGAAAAATCATGGGGTAACTATGGAGGAACAAGATGTTGCCAAAATAATCGAAGCTATGTTGCATGAACCTGATGAAGATTACTGCATAACAGTACAACCAGCACCAATTTGTCACGCCGAACATCAAGTCATGGACGAGACTCAGAAGATGAACGAACATAATAATAGCAGCTATATTAATGACTGCTCCAACTACCAAGAAGAGATCAATTGGGCTGATGATGTGCTCCTAGATATTGACGATTTTGTTGATATAATCTGCTGTTGATCTTCACAATGTTGAATAATGAATGGTGGAACCGGAACGCAGGGAAGGAGAGAGCAGCAATCAGTTTACACCTTTATTGAATGAAGTTTACTCAATGGAACTTATAGAAAAGTAGAGCTTCCAGCTAGGTAATAGTGTCTCATCCAAACAAACTTCTTAAGAGAAGCTTGCCAGAAGATTTTACTTGTATTCATGTATATGGAGTATCACTTAATAATTTTGCCATGATTTTACATATATTATTCCTCTAGTGTATTTTGTTCGTTTCGCTGAAAACAATTCTCTTTTGTTGTTTCGATTGCGAGACCATTAGGAAAGATAGAAAACGTATATGCACTTTAAGTGAGAAAAAATATATCTTACTTTCACTCATACCCACAACACCATCTTACTACAATTTTTTCAATTTTTTTGAACACCTAACAATTTGACCCCTTATAAGTACTATACAGTTCTTTCTACATCGTTGCTCGTGATATCGCAATGAATCTCTCTTAATTAACTTACATGTTGTAAAGGATTTCATCCATCAAGTTATGCCCTCTGATTTAGTTTACATGTACAATCTAGTATCCCACATATTTGGATTTCTTGTCACGTTCTTACTGGTTTCTCTAATTCTGTATACAGTAATGCATATATATACGCGTAATCAATGTTGGTGCAGACTTTAATTTTGTAAATCCCTAAAGTTTTTTATTTTCTTCCGCATATTTAGAGGTGCGGCAGAACTGGTCCACATCTGGGATTGTTGACGTTTTGATTATTATTTAACTTGTAACCTAATATATGGTCAAGTTTATGATTTTAAACTTGTCGTAAAAAACGGAGAAAGTGAACAAGTTTGAACCCCAATCCGAATAATTAAAATGTGACATGTGTCACTTAACTAAGTAAGAACTTGAGGAAATGGAGAGGAACCAGATACTAATGAATGGAGTTTTTTTTTTTGGAAGCAAAGAGAAAACAAATAATCTAAAAGCCCATAATTTTTGAATAACAAATTGTAAATGTGTTTATTTTGTGATTATGTGTGTCATTCAGGAATAATGCCATTATTGAAAACTCAAATTTTCGAGTTTCCAATCAAAATTTTCGTAGAGCTGTATTTAGTAAAGTTGTCTATAATAAACTAGTTTTGACTCATTGCGCGTTGTACAATACTACGTTCTATATATATCGCGAAATGTTTTTATTGCAAAATGTAGGGATCTATTTTCTGATATTCTATGATCTTTTTTGAATTATTTGTTCGTGTTTTTATTGAGAAAGTATGCCTAATGATTTGTTTCAAATTAATTCCAAAGAAAAGGCCGTTTCAAGAAGTGAATATATGCAATATGCTAAGTTTTGAAATTTCGAGCTAGCCCATGATCCGATTTAAGCTGAAAAATGATATATTTTCATTTTCTTTGGTTTATGGGGTAAATTAACTATCTTTTTCATTTTTTGTGAAAAATCTGTTAATTTAGAAATTTTATTTTTAACGCAACGCATTATTTTTTTTAATTAATCCATCTACTCGGGATTTTACCTCCCGTGGTGATGGGGTTTTTGTCCAAGACCCCTGCTTTATCATCCAATAATAATTATAACGACGGGGACATAACCAAAACCTCAATGAAAGAAATGCTTAAGGCCTCAAAAAGAGATCTTTTTATTTATTTATTTATATTGCTCACAAAAAATAGTTACAGTATAACAGAGGACGACATCAACCTAGCCTATGTTCAACAAAAAATCCCTGTAATAATAACCAGGGTCATATACAAGTACAAAGATTCATAATCTAAGATATAAACATTCCTATGATCCTATACAAGATTAGTACTCTTGTATATCCAATTTATTCCAAGACAAACCTGTGCCAAAAACAAAAAAAACTTATGACAATATGTTCCTCCTTTGCTTATGCCTTATGGAAGCCATTTGAGCTTTGTCCATCAAATAGGGTCCAGTGGCACACCTGGGCATGCAGATCTCTAGGATTGAGGAAAATGAATTCATTCTCCTCAATGCCCCATTTAGTAAGAGCATCTGCTACTTGATTAGCACCCTCCACTTCAGGCCAAGAGATTGTGAGTTCGAGTCACCCCAAGAGTAAGGTGGGGAGTTCTTGGAGGAAGGGAGCCGAGGGTCTATCGAAAACATTCTCTTTACCCTAGGGAAGGGGTAAGGTCTGCGTACACACTACCATCCTCAGACCCCACTAGTGGGATTATACTGGGTTGTTGTCGTTGTTGTTATCTGCTACTTGATTAACCTCACGAAAACAATGTTCACTACAAAATAACTTAGATTTTACGGTGGTTAAATTGAGGTAGTTTTATTGAACTGCCACAAAATGTAACATAATATGTCGGTCTCAAAGACGCCATCTTTAGATAAAATATTTTCTTATTTAATAACATTTTGCTTTTTGAAAATTTTAGAAGAAAATAGGAAACGAAGTGTAACGACCCGGCCGATTATTTGAGTATTTTAGCCCCGATCCCCTATTTATTGCCTCCTCTGTGTTGTATTATGATTATGTGAATTGCTCGGGGTGTTTGGTTTTGGTTTCGGGTGAGTTTCGGAGTGAAATGGGACACATAGTCCTAAGTTGGAGGCTTAAGTTGAAAGGGTTGATCATAGTTTGACTTTTGTGTAGACGACTCCAGAATGGAGTTTTAACGGTTCCAATAGCTATGTATGATGATTTTGGACTTAGGAGCATGCCTGATGTTGATTTGGAGGTCTGTAGGTCATTTCAACTTGAATTGGCGAAAGTTAGAAAGTTAAAGGTTTGAAAGGTTGAGAAGTTTGATTGGGAGTTGACTTTATTGATATCGGGGTCGAATTCTGATTTCCGAAAATAGGTCTGTCATGTCATTCATGACTTGTGTGCAAAATTTGAGGTCAATCGGGGTTATTTTGGTGTGATTCGACGTTAGTTTTGGAAGTCATATGTTCATAATTTCAATAGGCAATTAGGCTAAGATTATGTCATGTTAATTGCCTCCTCTATGTTGTATTATGATTATGTGACTTGCCGTGGTGTTTGGTTTTGGTTTCGGGTGATTTTCGGAGTGAAATGAGACACATAGTCCCTAAGTTGGAGGCTTAAGTTGAAAGGGTTGACCGTAAGTTGACTTTTATGTAGACGACTCCGAAATGGAGTTTTAAAGGTTCCAATAGCTCCGAATGATGATTTTGGACTTAGGAGCATGCCGGATGTTGATTTGAAGGTCTGTAGGTTATTTCAGCTTGAATTGGCGAAAGTTAGAAAGTTGAAGGTTTGAAAGGTTGAGAAGTTAGACCGGGAGTTGACTTTATTGATATCGGGGTCTAATTCTAATTCCCGGAGTTAGAATAGGTCCGTCATGTCATTCATGACTAGTGTGCAAAATTTGAGGTCAATCAGAGTTGTTTTGGTGTGATTCGGCGTTAGTTTTGGAAGTTAGATGTTCATAATTTCAATAGGCTTGAATTAGGCTAGGATTCGTAGAATCGATATTGTTTGATGTGATTTTTGGCCTCGAGTAGGTCCGTTATGTATTTTGAAACTTGTTGATATTTTCGGACGAGGTCCCGTGGGCCCCGGGTGTGATTCAGATTGAATCCGGAACAATTTTGGACTTGATGGATTGCTGAACCTGTTGTTGTTCTGGTGTCATCGAACCTGCGGAGGGTTTGGCCGCTGGTGCGGACACGTAGGTGCGTGAGGTTGATCGCAGAAGTGGCCTTGAGTGAGCTTGGCTGGGATCGTAGGTGCAAGGTGATTTTCCGCATCTGCGAGTCCGCAGGTGCAGAGGAGCTGGTCGCAGATGCGGACTGGGCCAGCTTGGTCTATTATCGCAGAAGCGGAAATCGTCCATAGGAGCGCGTGCGCAGAAGCGCCCATATGTCCACAGGAGCAGAAGCGCAGATGCATGTTATGTCCGCAGAAGCGGAGAGTGCTGGACCTTAGTGAGGACCGCACCTACGATGGAAATTCCGCAGGTGCGGAGCCGCAGATGTGGTTGTGGGTTCGCAGATGCGAAATTGCTGGGCAAAAAAGGGCTTAGGTCGAGAGTTTCATCTCATTTTTATTTTTGGATCTAAAGAGCTCGGCTTGTGGCGATTGTTCGAGGGATTTTTAAGGAAATCATCGGTGTAAGAGATTCTAACTCTGTTTTGGCTATATTAGATGAATCCATTGTTATTTTTATCATTTAATTAGTGATTTGAGTTGGAAATTTGGGGAAAAATTGTGAAAACTTCTTAGACTAAATTTTTGGGATTTGAAAGGCGATTTGAAGTCGGATTTGAGTAATTCTTATATGGTTGGACTCGTTATTGAATGGGCGCGAGCCCGGGGTTGACTCTTTGAGTTGACTTTTTATTTCTCTTTAAAGATTGCAACTCAATTGTTCGGAATATCTTGCTATAGTTTATATTTATGGTATGAAGTTGTTTTGACTAGATTCGAGCCGTTTGGAGTTGGATAATCGAGGGAAAGACTTTCTAGTGGATTGAGTTAGCGTATTTTGAGGTAAGTGTCTTGTCTAACTTTGTACGGGAAAATTACCCCTTAGGACTGGTATTGTTTTGTGTTAATTATGATATGTGAAAGTCGTGTACGCAAGGTGATGAGTGTGTACACCGGCTAAAAGTGATAATTGACCGGTTCTAGCTATGTAGATTCCTTTCATGCCTTTAATTGAGTTACCGTAATATGTTGTACTCATCATCAGTAGTCTATCTTCACATGCTTTACTTGTCGTAAATCAGCCCAAACAACAATGATATGATATATCAATAATAATAATAATAGAGACTGAGATAAAATGGGCAAGTAAAAACTGTGACTGAGTAAATATAGCATTTAGCAGGCAATTCAATAAGTACACGACCTCTGTGGGTCCCAACAGTACTATCACATAGCCTAAGCATGATTTCTAACATGATTAACAATCAAATTTTATCAACCCATAGAGGGCATATAACTAACAACAAATTATTCAACTTTACAGTTTTTC